GGAATAAAAAAATAATAATAAATGAAATAAAAAATTTTGAAAGTTAGAAATGCTTTTTAAATTTTGACAGACATTTAGATGTCGTATTCTTGTTTCAATTTGAGCTTATTTTTAACAAATATTCATAATTTTATATACTTTTTATTTCACCTAACCTACCTGTATTTTACATTTAAACTAATTCACCAGATATTAAATATGATTTACTTTGACTTCTAAGCAGGATTCCAATTATAGCTTTGTGTTACCATAACCAAAGACATATATCAAAATGTATAAAGCATCATTTAAGAATTTTTAGGGTCTTAATTATCATGAAAAACTAATGTTCTTAGACTACTAGACTGTATTAGACTATTTTATGCTTATTTAATAAATTAAATAATTTAATGCTTTAAATTTATTCATTATCAAATTCTGGGGTTCTTTTTTCCACTGAGAAGATGCAACAAACATGAACATTGTTTTAATTAAGTTGTATCACAATCCAAAATTTAAATAGATTTGAAAAATTCTAGATTCAAGAATTTAATTACAGATATTTTGCTGAATTTTTAGCTTATGTGTCACTATTTTAAAGATTTTTTTTTAAATAAAAGTTTTGAATACACGATATTTGTAAGAGTACTCTAGAAAAGTCCCAAAATAAACTCATTTCTTAAATGAAACTAAGAATGCATGCTGGATTTATGGTAAATTTACAAAAGACTGTGTTTTCACTATATATAAATATAGCATTTAAAATGCTCAGGTGATATATACGTGGTCCGTCGCCAAAAACTAAATATTTCAATTCAATTTTAAATATACATTTTCTTTTCAACATTTTAAATATTAAAAAGATAGCTGTTTGCTTTAGTAATTTTTTTTAGGGAATTATGTATTAAGTAAACTTTTTAAACACAAGATCCTACGAAGCATATTAAAACTATAAAAGTGCACTCATAAAAAAGTTTTTTGAAATTTTTTTTAACTTTTAGGAAATCGTAATTACAAAAAAAAATATAACTGAATATATTTGGCCAATTCAGATATTCTTCGATCAAAAAAGTAATAGATATTTTTAGACTTAAAAAAAAAGCCATGCTCTTATTTAATTGTATTTTTCTAGTAGATATTTACCAATCCAATGAAAAGTGCAATGGACTTCTACAGAATATTTTGTAATGCTGTGCCCTTTTTAAAGTATCCAAACTAGGTTCGGAGGTAAATTTTTCAAAAATTGATTTTCTGAATAATTTTATTGTTTTAAAGAACATAAATAGGCTTAAAAAGTCATATCAATTAAATAACTAACGTGTCGTTCTGTTTTTTTGAAAAAAATTATTTTTAGGAAAATTTAGCAAATTTTTTTAAGTTAAGAAAAACGTGATAAATAAAAATAAATTACACATTTTACAATTTTAATGTCATTGATATACTTCTTGATCCCTCTGAAGTATCACAAACCGCAGGATAAAAAATAGTTTAAGAAATAAATATTTTATTAGCATTTAAATTTGATGGTCATGATTTTTCGTCAAAATTACTGCATGTTCTAAGCTAAAAATGGCTGTAAAATGTGATTAAATATAGCTGTCTTAAAATCTGGGGTTTGTTACACTCTGAAGGACCCATAGCATATATGTTATAAATTTCATTGCATTTGATTGGATTATTTAGAAGATATCCCTTTTTTCGTGCACAGATTATCATGAAAAGTTCATTCTTCAAAAAACGGATAAAAAAATATTTTTATTAGTTAGATAAAGTAAATGCTATAAAGAGAACTTAAAAAACTCTCTAGTTTTATGTATTAGTCCTTCTTCCTCAATAATTAGTTTTTTTCCCTAATGACCCAAACAACACCAAACATCAAACAACTAAAAAGAACTTTTTCAACCTAGTCGGATACCTTAAGAAGTATATGCTGTATGGGTTAAAAATTTGTTGTTGCTTGATGGATAAAAGCATTTATGTAAAGAAATGCAAAGTACTCGTATGAAATATGAATGTGACGTGTTATTTGTATATGACGCACATGAATATTAAAAGTCATGAGATAGCTGCATGAAAATATTCAGATGGAAACAGTGACGTAACGGAGACCCCCACAGTGCGGGTGTGTACGTTATGCCAGCCACTAGATTACAATGACATTGCATAAGGGGCTTTCATTTGTACTCAATTGATTCATGTGAAATATTTTCTTATACGATTATGGCCCTCGGAGGGAAGTAACAGACTTTGAAGCAGATCCTAGATGCGACCAAACTGACCCTGCTACACTTCTATACTATTATCTGGCACACAAATGTACCCTCTGATTGGAGAAAATCTGTTATTATTCCCATTCTAAAGCCTCGTAAGCCTACTGACCATCCATCAAGCTACAGACCTATCTCTTTAACAAATGAATGTTGCAAACTGAGATGGAAAAATGTTTACCAATCGGTTAAACTATTTTTTTTGAAACCCATAAAAAAGTTCAGATTTTCAAGCTGACTTTAGGAACGAAAGGAACACAATTGAACAAGCAGCCTTTCTTTCGCAATCCATAAAATATAGTTTTCACTGTAAAAAATCTACCTTGAGTTTATACGTTGACTTTAAATCTGCTTACGAAATCTGCTTACACACCATTCATTCTTCGGATTAAGAAACTTATCCAATAAGTGGCAAGTATGGGAATTTGTGGGTGTATGTACAAATGGATGAAATCCTTCTTGTGCCAGAGACAAGCAAAGGTTAAATACAATTCGACCTTTTCTAAATTCTTCCAGTTGAGAAATGACTTACCACCGGCTGTCATTAGCTGTTTTCTGTTCAATATTATGATTAATGACTTGATTGAAAAACTTACGAGCACTCATGGAGTCCAAAGCCTAGCATTTGCAGACGATATTGCCATCTTCTCAACTGACCAAAATATTGCTATTGCTAACAAAAGTATTAACTTTGCTATGAAAATTTTGGAGAAGTGGTGCAGGAAAAACCAAATGATTGTGAACACAGAAAAAAACCGTGTACCAATTGTTTACTCTGTCACCTAAGAGACACCCATCATCCATCAAGCATATGAACCTTGACCTCTTTAGACAAGATCAATTTTGCTATCTTGGTGCCACTTTTGACAACAGACTTTCTTCGAAGAGACACGCAGAGGAAAATGCGAAAAAAGGGGAGGAAAGACTTGGCCTCTTCAAAAGATTGGCTGAGGTCATTTGGGGATCTATCCTGATGTTCTTTCCCCCACATAAAAGTCATATGTAAGACGTGCCCTTGATTATGGCGGAGAACTCTTGGCCACACAGCATCTAAAAGCTGTGGTGATATAATAGAGACGATTCAAAATAAAGCCCTCAGACATATTACCTCTACTGCCTCTTCCACTCTCATTGTTGCCCTCGAATTTGAGACAAATATTGAGCCCCTGGGGATTAGGAGGGAAAAGCAACTACTCAAGCAATTTTAAAAATGCATGAGACTGCCCCTCCTGCCCTTGCAACAATATATTCCCCCTCCAAGAAAACTTGAATCGCACCATTTTTTCTATTTGATATATGATGACCTATTGTATAAGTACAATATAAATTGAATATTCCTCGCCGAGAGATTAGAGAGATTTTCCTCCCACTCTCAGCCTTCCAACTTTAAATTTATCAATAAATTTTCCAGAAAAAAAGTCTGCAGCCATTCCTGCTGCCCTTTGTGCCTATGCTCTTGAAACCATCATGACTTTATACCCAAAGGATATGTGACTCCACATTTATACTGATAGTTCTGCCTAGGGTGATGACTCCACTGGCTTTTATTGTGAAACCTTTTTGAAGGCTCTTTGGCAGTAGGCTTGGGTGCTACAAACTTTGATGCGGAGACAGAGGCGCTGAGTCAGGCAATATACCATTTAACCAATTCATCTACTTCCTATAGACAAGCTGTCTTCCTTGTAGATTCTCAATCTGCAATCCTCACTCTCTGCTCCTTACGCAATAGTGACTCGATAGAGGTGGAGGAGGTAAGAGAAATTAATTAACTCAACGATGCTGACTGGATCGTTATAATTCAATGGATCCCTAGTCATTGCGGTATCCCAGGCAATGAAAAGGCGGACTCTCTGGCGAAACAGGGATGCAATCTCCCAACGCCTTCTGGTAGCTTGTCCTGCAGACAGTCTTTTTCAAATATTTACAGATCATGGGAAAATAAATTCGCCAAATTCAAGAGAATGAGGCTAGTCGAAAGATCTGGGAAACCCTGTTCCCTACTCCAGTCCCAATGGGCCTTTCTTGACCGGTTTTTTCTGCTGTTTTTAGAACTTTGAACGACCATGACTTTCTTCAGTAACACCTACAACGAACTGGTGCGAAAGAAAATCCAGACTGTCCTCTGCGTCTTTGCGTAGAGGCTATGAATTCTTTCCTGATAGTTTGTGCTTCTCTGGCCAACACAGGTTTTAACGTTTATTCTAACAACTTTACTGCAAAGGATGGATTATATTGGGCTGCTCGTAGGTAAATGGCCTTTACGGCCCATTCCTCGGTGTAATTAAGAAAAAGAGGAGATTTAAATTAAAGATGTGGCTTCCTAGACTTTTTGAATGAACTCAAACTCGGATAAATATTATTTCTTTTTCTTTTGATTCTGAAAGTTTTAAAGTATATCCTACATTTAAACATATAACTATAACAAAAAAAAATTTCATCAGTAACAATTTCTGCGGGAGGGAGTGGATATTAACGTCATTCTGTTCAGCTACTCGAGGGTCTTTGGCGACGGACCTCGTAATTTTGAACCATAGTCAAGTGCCGAGGACGACACCTGAGCTGGCATCCTCCTCTTCTAACTACCTCACCACACCTTCTGGAGGATGTTTGAGCTCTCGTCAGATTTAACGTGAATCGCTACCCTGCATTGTAGGTCTTCCACAGTACTAGGCACGAACTCATGACGGCCACGAGTCGGTTACCTTGACCACTAGTCTACTGCGGCCACACATTTTTTTTTAAAAAAATGATTAAATGTTCCACAGAGATTTGAACTCCGATCACGGGATTCAAAGTTCACAGTGCTAACTATTACACCATAGAACTTAAAATTCCCATGCCGGAAATGGTACCCGAGCCGCCTGGGTGAAAGACAGGAATCTAGACTACATGAGACTCGCAAAGACTTATGACAAAATTGGCACAAGTATCAAAGTGCATTAAATTAGGTGGTTCATGGATTATACTTAATTAATTTCATTAACATGGCGCTAGTTAATCACTAAACGAGAATTTTTCTTTTTCTGAAAAAAGATTTTTTTTTGCGTATTAGGTTTCTCATCTTAAAATTTCTATGCATTTCAAGCTTCGTAACATTTTATTTGTAAGGGTTTGAATTACATATTGGTTTTAAAAATGAGTATTTTAATGTTAAACAGTGTCAAAAAATTAAAATGTTTAAAACATTTTTGTACCAAACGATCGATAACTGTTTTATTTCTAAAAACATAAAAATAATTATTAAAAAAAAACTATATTAATATGAAAAACACAAATAATCTAAAGCAGTTACGCAAACAAAGAAAATCGTACAAAAATTCTAAAGGACTATTCAGGACTATATCCTGGAGATGGAATTCGCTAGAGTTAAAATTTTAAATTTAAGATGTTTAGATCATTATAATACTAACATACTAATAATAGAAATTACTATGCATAGTAATTAGTTATATCAATTTTGAGGGTAAAATCAGGAAAAGAGCGCAATAAAAAAAATTTCGTTTTAACTATGTTAATGAAGTTATTATTTAATCTGCGGCGGTGTGATAGCTATATGAACTTGTACCAACATCACCGGAAGACGATCGTTTTGGCGTGATAGGTTAAGTACTTGCATTTTCATTCGGAACGGAAGGTACCCAGAACGAACCTTCCTTCATTGGTGACCCTGGCCGTGCAAAGAACCGCGCCGTTGTCGTGGCGCCATCTATCTACCGCAACAGCAACCAAACCGCCAAGCATTGACGCAATTAAACTGTCACACATATAACGCAATTCTCGAGCCATTACGTACGAAACTAATACAACCCACCAAGTGAAGCAACTGCTCACATGCTCGTCACGAATGTGGTATCATTCGTTCGCCTATTCACCAAAACCCTGGCAGGGAGCATGCGGTGGTGTGACAGCTATATGAACTTGTACCAACATCACGCGAAGACGATCGTTTTGGCGTGATCGGTTAAGTACTCGCATTTTCATTCGGAACGGAAGGTACCCAGAATGAACCTTCCTTCAAATCCATCAGCCCTATAGTGTATTCCTCTTTGAGCAATTAACATTTATTTTTTGGTCAGTGGTAATGAAAACTGCAAAAGTTAATGAGGATCCTTTTTAAAAATAATTACAGTTTCTCAAAACTTATATATCCCCTTATTATATCATTCTTAATTCAGTATAATATTTTCCTTCCCCGAAAAAATTCCTATTTCTGTTACTATTTTGCTGTTCTTTCACTAAAGCTTATAATGTTTAATTCATAATATTTACTGTGGCTTCAAGCCAAAAATTAAACAGAATCTTTCATAAATTAAAATTATGCCTTATTTTTCTGTCATTTGAAAACAGTATACAAAATTTTCGAAAATTAAATTTAATACCTTGAAATAAAACGAGCATGTGTTTAATATCGTGTTAGACATAACAGTTTCCATAAGTAAACCTAGTAATATATGTAGATTACTTTCCCAACGCTTAAGGTATCCGACAACTCTAAAATTGTGAATTTTGCCAAAAATAAACAAATTTTTAATGATTTATTTTATAGGCCATCTTATTAGCTTTATAAAAATACCAAGTTTTTTATTTTCCATTCACTAGAACAAAAACTACAATTGTTTTTGTAAAAACAGATGCCATTACTTTATGAAAAATGTCATACTTTAAAATACGTTTTACTCGAATTACGTTTTTTTGAAAATGCTCAAACTCGGGCAGAGATTTCTTAAAAAGTTTTGAAAACAATCAACTGATTTTTGTGTGTGCATATCCTGTATAATAGTAGAAATGTTTTAACCTTCAGATTTATCAATCACTGTTTTATTACAAAATTTAAGTCCCTTTTGTGAATATAATCACAGTTTTTTTTAAGCAATTTCATAAAATATTTAAGATAAAGTGCTCTAGTTTTTATAAAAATTAAAATATCTCTTATTCTGAAGGTCATTTAAAAAATGAATACCAAAGCAACAGCACGAAATGGGCCCAATTTATGTAATTTTTTGTCAATTTTTATCCTAATTTCTTTTTCTCTTCTTAATTTTAGCATGTAACCCCCTCCCCAAAGAAATAGTTGTCGTAAGTAGTCGAATACCTTAAATATGTTCTGTCTATATATCAACACACGAAATAAATGTGAATTTGATCCATAATGTATTCATTTATAAAGGAAACTATTGTTAAACGTATGAAATATTTTTTTCTCTTAAAATACAGCTTTTGTGATTTGCATATTAAAAGGGAATTATATTATCATTTCCCCAGATTTTATGCTTTTTCTTTTCTATTATTGCAGGTAATGCGTGCTCAATGATTTTTTTTCATACATATATTTTAGAATGAATAGAATGAAAACCAGTGTGCACACACACACGAAGTGAAACTATAATTTTTTAAAAAAAAATATTTTCAGGTAACGTTAATTTAAATGTAGTTTGGGATGAGGCTTTTGGCAATGTAGATTAAAAACTATTACGGAACGGTACACTTTAAGTTTCTGCTTATTGCTTTCAAAATGAAGATAATAGTAAGTAAAGTATTTACCGTTTTTAAAAATATTGTTTTTTTATTAATTAATGTTCGACATGCTATTTGTCCTTATCGGAGGACCACTTTAATTACTTTCCATTACTTTTAAGACATTATTCAGTTACATCATAAAATGAGAGAATTCAATTAGCAAAAATCTGGCATATAACACGCACTTTTAGCTCAAAAATTTTGAGAACCCCCTCGGTTCCACCCTGGACACTAAGATTGAATTGAGGCATAGAATCACCAGACGCCATTTTCAGAATAACAAATTATATTTATTCACTTAGTTCAAATATCAACTTTCTAATTACAAATATTCAACTATGTGTCTGTCAAAGGGATTTACCTTTACTATTAAATTAAATTACGAAATATGAAATTAATTAAGTGCTAAGCTCAACATCGAACGGGTTTACCGGAATAGGAGGTCCGAGAAATACACGCAACTTGAATTATTAACATTCATTAAAGTTTAACCAACTTTATTATCTATTAACGCTTGTGGTCAGATAGACAAAGTTAAAATATATCACCTGGCTGTAATTTAGTTCTCTCCTGGTAGACTAATCTTTCTAAGGCTACTTCGCTGAATAATAACAGCAATACTCTAATCTCTTAATCCACTTGAATCTTCCTAACCTCGTCACTACTGCTCCTGGCTCAATCGACTTCTCAAAGCTAACTCACAAGGCTCTCCTTAAATACCTTATTTGATTTGCATATCCCATTTTCTTCTTTTACAGCTGATTGGAAATATACGCGAATTCACACTCCCCAAAGACGCCTAAGAGTATTAGTGGAAAAGTGCCGTAAAGATTCGTCACAAAATGATCCAAATTTAAGGGTGCGTGTTATACGCAGGGTATTAAAATGAATACTGTAAACGTCATAAAATGAGAACATAGAAAAATTAAGACTTCTACATAACCTGAAATACTGTTTATTTAAAAGAAATGACATACCTTATGAGTTAAAGTTGTTGTAGTTCTAGAATATGCTATTTTTTTTCTAAAGCTTCAAATATTACCTTGAATAAATGACTGCAAAACAAAAGAGCATTGCGCACGTACATTTTGTATTTTTCGTAAATAAGGGTGCGCGTTATACCGCAAATATACGTAAAAATTAAAATTTGCAGCTTGAAATTGCAGGTGCGCGTTTATACGACGGATTTTACGGTAATTAAATTCTTTCGATAGGTTTAAGTTAATAATATAAGTAGTGTTAAAGTAATTTATAAAAATATTAAATTACAATAAATTAAAAAGTATATTAGAATGTAAACAATGAAATTGATAAGAGTTATTGCAAAAAAGTGCGTGTTATATTTAAATCTTCAAAAATATTTTTATAAGTATAATAGTATAAAACTACTACATACTTTTAATATATATGCCGGTCTTTTTTTATTCAAGCAGAACTGTTTTTCTCATTCATTTGATCATTATAATTTATTTAAAACTTAGAAACTCAAATACTTGTTTTTCGAAGTGTTACGGTTCTGATAAACACTTATAATTGATTCATACAGCTTGCAGTATATTTATCCAATGAAAATTCATATTTCATATAACGTGTACGATAATAAAATTTCCAATGAAATAAAATTTTTTAAGTTTTTCTTAAAAGTTGTTCTCAAAATGTATCAATTTTTTTATCGAACAACAATAACTATATGAGACACGGAATTGTGCTTTTACGTTATTACCGGATTAAACCTAAAATTAATAAAAAAATATCTCGGGGGAAAATAATACATTTTATAACATAAAATATCACAATGACAAAGGAAATTTATACAAGACAAATCAGGTAACTATTTAGAGGAGCAAATTAAAGTAAATTAGTTTAAATACAGTCTAGGATTAGACGGTGAGGTGAATGATCTTAACTCATTGCGATGCGAGCTCTCTCCTTCGTTAAAAACATTGAGTTGTGAGAACACGCTACTGTTACAAGTTTGTACATACCATGGCGGCATCTACATTCCAGTCTGGGATGTTTGCGTGCATTGCAGACAGATAAAAACTGCTCTGATTTAAGCCACTTTTAATTTTGCTAACGTAAAGCAATTTTTAAAAACAGTTAAAAAATTCATGATTTTTTAAAATATTTTTTATTTTTTATAGATATTTCTGCCTCTTATTGCATTTGCAATAATTTTAGTTGAAAGTACACCTCAAGATGGCAGTGCAGGAGGTGAAATTGGAGGAGAAGCAGGAGCTAGTGCTGGAGCAGAAGGAGGAGTCGGTTTTGGATTTCAGTTAGGTTTGGGAGCTAATGCAGGTGCAGGT